GAAAAAAGACAGTCGATTTAACTACTGAAAAGGCAACCGGTAGCCAATTTCTTATTCACTGAATGAATAACTAAGAACCGAGGAATCATTTTGTTTGTAGTTGGCATCTTATGGAGATCAATTTTATGCCATGTATATTTGTACTGGAGAAGAGCAACCTACTTGTTATGTCTATTCAAGGCCAGAAAAAGGAAAGGTTTAGCCTTTTAGGGGTGTTAGTTGGTCTTTTAGCTGCCTTCTTGCATAATCGGAAGAGTGTGTGTGTGTGTGTGTGTTGCGTATGACAATTGCTCGGACAAAAAGTCGAGAGAGGTGCTCTTGAATTTGAATACTCTTTGACTCTTTTGCGACGTGATACTCTTTTTGACAGCTTTGTTGAAGATCTAGCATGATCTCTTTTTTGTAAACAATGGTGTTTGCTTTTTTTGACTTGAAATTAGCTGATTTTGGATTAGTGAAAATTATGATTCTTCATGTGAAGATATTATAACTGTGAAGCTTTTTTTTTATAATCCTTGTTATATATATGGTCTTGATTTTCATTACTACACACACGAAATGTATGAATGGAAATGTATGAATGGTGTTTTTATATGTGGTATGTGGAAAATGAATTCATTACAGAGAGGCTCTTTTAAAGGTTGATTGAACAAAAGCTCCAATGTTGAAGAATGTAAGTTCAATGGATAAATGGCAATTGTTCCAATTTTTTAATCAAGAATTCGTTTTGTTTTCAGCCTATTGCAACTATTTAGTTGAACCATTTTAATTTTATCTTATAATTTAATGAAAAATAAAACAAAATTATCACTACGAAGAATAGAAAAAACTGATTTACAAAATGAATTTTTCTAATAAAAAAAATGTCTGAGCCCGGGTTCGAACCGGGGACCTCTAGTGTGTGAGACTAGCGTGATAACCGACTACACCACCCAGACAAGTCCCTTTTGTGTTCAATTTTACAACTAAATTTCATTAAGAGAGGGTTCAACACATCATTTAAAGATTTCGATTACAGACGCAGGTAAAACCCGAGAACCAAATCTCATTATTTCATTCACTAAAGTTTGTTTGTTTATAGGTCTTGTTTGGCGATCAGCGGATAGCGGATTATATTAGCTAATTTGACCAGCGGATTACATTAGCGGTTTTTAAATAAGTGTTTGGTAAATAACTGAAAGCTTATAGCTGTTGACATTACAAAATGACTAATAATGACATTTTATTATTTAGGGTGTATTCGTTTAAAAATAATATATTAAAATATTTTATATTCTTTAGTTAGTAATTTATAAATATATTATTTTTTAAAAAAGATTTACTAACACTTGATGAAAAATTTATGAATTTTAACATTTTTCTAGATAAATTAATCATATGGATGACATATTATTGTTTATTAGCACCGTAAATCAATGTAGATTGTAAAATAAAGAATACAAATTAAAAAGTTCCAAGTAAATTATTTATTTTTGTGAATCATCTATCCCAAAAAGCTGCTCTAATGAGCTTTTTCTAAATTAGAATTTTGGGCTCAAAAAACTTATCAAATAAGTTATTTACCAAACATGCTCAATAGCGGATTTGACGGGTCAAACCTCTCAATTAAGTCCAATCCGCTAATTTATCTTCAATCCGTTATCTTCTAAATGGGGCCTATATATAATGAATCAATATTCCAATTTTAGATTATTAGTTTATTACGTTATCACAAGAATACACCCGACCGACTATGGGACTATTAGAAATTCCAAAAAATCAATGGATATTTTTTTTTTTTATGGAGTCCTTTAGAAGGTTGAGTTAAACACAGTTAATTTTGAAAAAGTTAATTAAGTTAAATTTGAAGGAGATTTTGATTTTGTATTAAGACAGTTATAAAATAAAATAATTAAAGTTGATTTAATTTAAAAGTATGAGAAAGGTGATTGAAATTGATTGATTGTTAAAATTGTGTGAATGAATAAATAGTGAATTAAAGTTATGTCATATTTGAGTATTTACATTATTTAATTATTTTGATAAAAGAAGCTATACGGGGGATTAGTCGGGTATAACTTTAAATTGTGCACGAGAGCTATAGGCGTGCAGCGGTAGCCTACACAAAGACAGGAGGCGTTTCGCTTGTTATGCGTCTGATTTGTTGGGCCCCATGAATATTAGCCTTTGCACCATTACGGGTGCGTAACTCTGGGGTCTTTTCCAAGGAATGCATTTGGCTTGGGACTTGGGTATAGACAAGTTAATGCCGACGTTGATAGCCAATGCGTGACAAGAATGATTCTTGAATCTGAAAGATCATTTGGATTGCATGAAGGGATGGTTCAAGCAATTCGTAATATGGTCTGACATGAGTGGGATATAAGGATCCAACACGTGCAAGCCGACTATGTGGCGAGTGTGGCGGCATCTGATCTGATTGGATCACAGCGGGTATCCTCCCCTCCTTCAGGCATGGGAGCATGGCTCGAGCATGACGTTATTGGGGGTGTCGTATCCCCGTCGAGTTTTAGCCTAAACCTTCGGCCTCCTTCATGTACCGAAAAAAAATAAAAAATGATGCCATGTTTTTAATTAAAAAATTTATCTATTATCATTTATACAAAATATATTTTATATATTCAGCTCCAAGGGTATAAAAGAAGCTATACGGGGGGGATTAGTCGGGTATAAAGGAAGATCTTGGCGCTTGAATCCAGCTGTCGCCCCATTTTTTTTAACACCCATAAAATGTACAACAAAATGAAAAATCTTTTTGGCCTTAATTTATTGCAGGATAACATGATTGATGAAGTCACAAATCACTCCCCTTGGGACTGCCTACCGTCTACACCGACTCTACATAACCAACCACCTCACTCCACCACCCACCACCGCACCCGCGGCGGACCTCCGGCGCCGGCCGTCCCACAGCCGCACCACATTCCCGTCCAGAACATTCAGATCCTGCCACCTGTACCACCCCATGTCCCCCATCCTCACCACCACCATCGTCCTCTCCCAATCCCCGCACTCCCGCCGCGATTCCGCCGCCGCCGACGACACTCCATCGCAGCCGCCGCCGCCGCCGCCGCCGTTGATTCCCCCCAAATCCTCCTCGTAGTATGTGATAAACTTCCCTTTTGGACTGCATTCGCTCTCCACTGCGCAGTGCGACGCCGGAACCAAATCCTCGGCCACGTCGTCAGTCG